TAGAAGTCAGTTTTTAACTCTATCTGCAGAGCAGGTCACATCTTCAGTATGTCTATTATCTGTCAATATGTTTGCATTTTGTGATCAAGCTTAGGAAAATATTTAAATAGAACTTTATTCTATATATTTTATGCACAGATGTGGATTTGATTTATGTTTTACTGGTTAGAAATAACTGCAGCAAACACATACATTCCACACATGAATTTTGATCTGAACTCTTAATTGGCCATAATTACACATGAATATTCAAGTCAATTAAAAAATATATATTAATCCCAAAGGGAAATTAAATGTAACAGTAGTTTTTTTTTTTTTTTATCAGTTGTAGGTTTTGATAGCTGTAGCTGTCTGTCTTGCACCAGATCTGAAGAAGCCTTTTACTGAAGACACTCTGTTGTTTTATAATCTTCTGAAGACGATGCTCTCTGTTGTCCATGATTTCTCCTCTTAATGAAGAATTCTTCTTTGTAAATTAAAATGCAGATTTTCTAGAGTAGTTTTTAGAACAGAGCTGGCCTTCTTTGCTTGTTGAGCTTTTTTTAGTCATTTGCTCTGACGCTGTTACCTCAGAAGATGATGGAGGATGAGATCATCCTCTCAACAACAGACTTTTTGAAGATATGTAGCATCGTGCTGCAAACACTGTAGGACCCAACCTCCTTTAGGAAGTACAACCTGCTCTTTCCTCTCTTCTAGAAAGCCTCACAGTTGCTTCTCCAGTGAAGTTTGTTGTCCAGGTGAACACCTAGGTATTCTTGTGCTCTGATATAAAACAGTGCAGCTCTGGTTTCATGTTAACGGTCATTGTCTCATGGTGAGGGGAACCTCTGTCCTTCTGTGAAGTATTGCCCAACCTAAAACAGATGGTTTCATATCAATTTTTTTAAATTTTTAAATTTAAATCATTTTGTTCTTCCAAAAAATCTTCCAACATTTTATTATGCTATAACTCTCTAAAACTTTGCTCTCATATTCATATTTCTTGTAATAACTTTTGCAGTTTAGCTGCGTTTTGTTTACTGGGTAAACACTTATTTTCATTATTTACGTTTTTAACATTTCAATCAACATATAAACAATCAGATCAGTGGTTCTTTAAAGCAAAGAAAACAGCTAAAAAGCAGAAGAAATAACAGAAAAAAACGAGGTCCAGATGGGTTGCAGAAAAAGAGAAATTGGGTGAAGTAGATGGCGATAAAAAAAAAACAACAAAGTAAGAGAGTTTGACAGATATGGTTGGTTGGGAAATATTGGTTTTTAAAGACGTGTCCTGGGAGTCCCCACATGCTGGCTAATTAATTTAGGTTTTTTTCTGTTGGAGAACAACAATGGTTACAGTGGAAAAAAATAATACTGTGGAAGGGAACAGGAGAGACATATGGTAATGCATCAACATGGGGGAAAAAAACAAATCTCTTCTTATTTATCCTCAAATAATACCTTCTGAAATCGCGTTGCCATCAAAGTTGATGAGCAAGGAGGAAGAAATGTGGTGGCTCTCACTGATTTCAGTCTGGACTTCTTTTTTAAGTTAAGGCAACATTTCCCATCTGTTTTTATCCAACCATCATATGAATGCATGTCGATAATTGGGGGCTTTTAATTATTTATTTAAGCAGTTGCATTTTAGGAAAAACAATAAAAAGAAAAAAAAAATTTGAACAGAAACACTGGTAGGGTCCACTACTTTTAATGTGCATTGTGTCTAATTCCCACAAGGTCAACAGTTTACATGCAGGCTTAAATATGATTGTATAACGCCCCTAATTGGTCCAATCTTCCTAATTCAGTTGCACCTTGACTACATTTTGTTTTTGTAGCCATAAAAACCATCTGAATTTTAAATAAAGCCCACAAATTTTGAATAGTCAAGGTTAGGACTTTAGGAAAAACATTCTTGCATGCCATTCACTGGATCTTTAAGGGCAGTTTGAGGCAATATACTCCACCAGTTAGTGTGGCCTTAGTTCATGGTAAGGGCATTTGGTTACAAACATTGTTCATCTAAAGTAAGAACATTGGAAATAAGTTTTAAAGGTATCACCTTTACTCCTCAAAGCATACCTCCTGCTAATATGAAAGCTCAATCCTTTTGTCAATGGAGCCTGGAAACTTCAACCCATCACTACTGAAAATTGATTAGATGATGACTCGAATAAATTGCGATTAATAAAATAATCATCATCATAATAATGAATCATGAATAGGAATTTCAAATTAAGAGTATTAACTAGAGTAATGGTACAAATACTCTAAAACATGCTACTGTATTTGCTGAAAGAGTAACCTACTTGCAGCAGTGATTAAAACAAAATGACAACAACATATATACATTTTTTATTTACAGTGAGAAAACTTTACTTTTTTATCTACCATTGAATCTGTATCTACATATATTGTATGATGTATGCATTTTTTCCATTTACAATTCATTAAATTCATTACGGATTTTTATTGCCCTATTAGGTTTTTCTCTGAACTCAAAGCGTTTGATTAATTAGTAATATATGTTTTCCAAAAATATACATTTTTAGATTAACCGATTAATTGAGAACATTATTGATATATTAACTGATTATTTAAAGAATCAATAGCTGCAGCCCTATATCAAACCTTAAAACTGAAGCACAGGCAAAAATCTCATCTATAATTTAAGTTGTTTATGGCAGCAGCCCTGCTGATGCCCTCCTCCAGGGTGATGTCACAGCTAAACAGAGCGCCGGGTCAGGTGATGCCTGTATGACGAGAGAAAACAGAGAAAACATAAAGTTGAACTCATAAATAATGCAAGATTGGAGAAGAAGAAGTAGAATTTAGCAGATGGAAAAGAAATGGTCTCTAAATCCTCTAGGAGCCTAAACCTATAGTAGCTTAACCTTGGAGATAGCTTAGGATAGCCTGAGCCATTAGCCCTATCCTAAAGGAAAGTTTTAAGACTGGGCTTAAAGGCAGACAATGTGTTTGCCTTGTAATTAACATGTATCTAGAGTCAACCCTTTTGACTGTAACTTTGTTTACAATTATATCTCTGTGTTTTTGTATTGTGGTAATGGAAATTATCTCAAGTTTATAGCAACATTTGGTTTTTTTCCTAAATTTTGTACCTCTTTTCTTGCCCCAGAAGGGAGAAAATACAGGACTTTGTTTCAGCTTATTGCCTCTATAATACTCACCTATAGAGGTGAGTATTGGCATGAGTGTTACGATTCGATACATGTCGCGATACTTGGGTCACGATACGATATTATCACAATATTGCAGTATCACTATATATTGCCATATTTTCCCCAGCTATCAAAATCAAATGATGAGATAAAACAGCAAGTGCTGTATATTTTCATCAGAAAATATTGATTAGGTATTATTATCCATGTTGTTGGTGCTGCACGCACAGTTAAAGGGCTCCACAGCGCTTTCTGCCAGAGTGGTGGTGCAGAAATAGCCCATTTTCCCATCAATGTTTTATGTAACCATTTTTTTTTTTTATCGATACTAAGAAGTGAAAGATCGATATTATATTGGGCAGCCGAATATCACGATATAACGCCAAAACGATTATTTCCCACACCCCTAGTACTGTAGATACAAAGTCGTTCAGTTTTGGGAATATATTATCACTCTGAGAACTTCTTTTCAACTTTTTTTCAACAATGGGTGGTGAGGTTGCTTGAAGACCCAGATGCAGAGATGAGTGAAGCAGAGATGAGTTCTGACTGATTTAATTGAAGAACACAGGTAACAGAGGCAGAAATCCAACTAAAAATGTTAAACAAAACAAAAACCGTGGAGACATCAGGGAAAAACGAGCATGAAGAGCCAGGGAGAGACGAGCTGAGAAGGCAACTTCAACAACGACCAGAAAGAACCAGAACTGAGCGACTGCAGAGGTGGAGTATCTGAGGAGAACAGAACAAAGGATGGACTAATGAGCTGAATAAGGAGCAGCTGTGGGTGGAACTGGCAAGAAGGAATCCAAGGGAAAGAAAACAAGCACAAGGGGGCAACAGAGAGTAACTAAAGAATGCTAGAATATGATGGAAAATAAATCAACAAACAAAACAACTGATAACAGAAAACTGAAAACTCAGAGTCACAACAAATGAGAAGAGCCATAACACTTTTACTCTGTATCTTTGTTCACGTCTAACTTATGTGCAAATAAATGTTATTTTTTTGAAAAGGTAAAACACAACCCACTTGTTAGGTTAAAACAGATACGTTTTAATTGTTGAAACATAGATTTTTACTGTTTTCCTTTACTAAAGAGTTAAAAGGATTTCGAAACTTCTTAAGTGTTTCAACCTGTTCATGTCACCTTGGGTACTTTTTGCCTTTAAATCAGATTATTAATCAACCGTACAAATAAAACCTGAAACTGCACACTCCTTTTAATCAAAGTCTTTAATCATAACTTCTCAGACAGTCTCACTTTTCTTTATGGACCTCTTTTTTTCTGTTGTATTGTGTGCTGGGAGTGGAGATTTTTCCAAAAGATTAATCAGTAATGAGTCATCATTCTGTTGTTGCCAAAGCCAGACTAAAGTGTCATTCACAAAGGCCCAAATGGTCATCATTTCATGGACCTATATACACACACATGCACACACTCTGATGGTCCAGCGGCTTTGAGAGAGTGTTTTGAGGTTATTACAACAGTAATTCCACTGCTCTCAGCCCCTCTTAAACTGACAGCTGTCAGGGGTGGGGGTTAGAGGGGCCAAGTGGGACATGTCGGACAATGAACGGTACACAGTGGCCTTTTAGGGTCTTTAACAGCCTCTGCAAGCCTCTTAGACTCAGCAGCTTTGCGAGGGGTTTACATTGTTTAATTGGTAGTAAATAATCGATAATTCATGCTCTGTGTAACTCTATAAGGCCCCCATGTATTCTTAGGTATGTCACATCCTTTTTTAGTGTCTTTAATCACCCACAACTTTCAATGCCTGATGTCTTGCAAACTTTTCATTTTTTTCCTATTAAAATGTCTCTGTGTTCAGGGCTGTGGCAGAGAGATTTGAGCGAGGAGAGCACTGATCGCCGCACATTCTTGGGAAAAAAATACACTAAAGTGATCATGATGCACAGAGAAGGTATGGAAAAAAAATAATAAAAACATGCATGCAGTCGGCTGGTTTTTGATGCTAAATAACTGCAACTAAAGGGGATTCAGCTTCTGTAAGGGCCAATCTTCTTCGCATCCATTTATCACTGTGCGCCTTATGATTTATTAAGCAGGCTCTTTATATTTTATGGATTGTCTTCAAACAACAACAGGGCAGAGTAAATTTTTTGCCATTAAACGCAGTAAAGGATGTCAGAAAGATGCATTGGGCTCATTTTAATGCTATTTTTACAATGTCTTTTTCAATTTGGTAGAGACTATTTTACTTTATGGCTCATACAAGCATCCTGCTTCCTGTTTGAGTTCAAATGAGTTGAACAGTAAGAGCTCAAATGGCTCCAAATCATTGCACTGCAAATAAAATACACGTCTGCTGGGGGCTTCTGCACCGAAGCAGTAAAATGTAAAATGGTCTTGTCCTCAATACTGTGATCTTTCTTTGCCCTACCTGAAGGTCTGTACCGCTTCCATGAAGATGTTGACAACATGGTGCAGGTTCTAGAGGCACCTCTGTGGGGAGGTAAAGCCAGCCTTGTGCTCCTGCTCCCCTTTCATGTGGAAAATCTGGCAAGGCTGGACAAGTTGCTGACCCCAGAGCTGCTGTCAAAGTGGTTGGAGAGGACAGCCAATACCACTGTGGCTGTTTCACTGCCAAAGGCGAACATCAGCAGCGCACTCAGTCTGCAGGTTGGTACATTGTGGTACTGTAAGCTCTATGATGGTTTTCTCAATTTTCTGGTGGAAAGGTGGTCATTAGAAAAATTAAGGTTTCATTCAGCTGTTCAGACTTTAACAAACTGCATTCAAGTAATTACTCTATTGCTCTGCTGGCAATAAATCTGGCAGCTTTATGGGAACCTTTTCATAAGTGCAGATAGAGTGTGTGCATTGTTTAGCATAAAAACAGTGTGCCTTTTCTAATCCTTAACATTTGATAGCACTGATAGATAATGGCATAATTTTATTGAATCTAACATTACAAATCTTTGGAAATGGTTAAAAAATGTAGATTGGATCCTTGTAGGAGAAACAAACACTTTTCTTATATTAGTTATGCCCTGTTCTATGACTACAGAACCTAAAACAATCATTACAAATGCTAGAACTATCCTTTTATAATTGTTGTGTTTGATGTTTTTTAATTTTTACTAAAAGCTTCTTGGCCAAAATAATCAAGAGTCAGGTTGGAGGAAGTAAATGATTCCGGCACCTTGCTCTTGGGCATTAAAACCAAATCAATTTAATTGTCCAAGAGGCATATTATAGCATGAATTAAATTGTTCTTAGATTTTTCTTTCTTTATTTATTTATTTATTTACTTTTTTTTGGGGAAATCCCTTCCATTGCATGTATTGCAGGTAGCCATGGAGTTTGTTATCTGAGGTAGTGTGAAGAAGTTCCAGATGACTGATGCTTTCACTCGCTCCGTTTTTAAAAGAACTCTCTATAGGTTGTATTACTGGTGGGTGTGTGTGTCTGTGTGTGAGAGAGACATCTTTCATACACACACAAATACGCCGCAGAGAAATGGACTACATAGATCTGAACTAATGGATCGAGCACATTGTCAGAGATACTCCAACGTCAGTTTCATTCAATATTGGAACTGATACAGATATTAACATCTTATCAGTGTATCTCAGGTTTATAGCAAGTAAATCCAGTGAATTTACAAATTAAGGACATTTGAAAAAAAAAACATTATTTATGAAAGGGTAGGTATGAAGAAAAGAAACATATTTAATCATTCTCCTTTCACTTAGCTTAACACAACCCTCTTCCTGATACGTACTCAACCTATGAGTCCATAATACTCCAAACTTCCAATAAAGCCCCTTCTCCACGACCCTAGGATTTAGAGCCTCAAAACTTGTATTTTTATATTTTAATACATACAATTATTACCCATTGAACACATGACCTCAACCTTTGGAAAATGATGTTTAACCATGTATAATGACCAATAATAAGAGAAATTGGTGTTGGTTATCAATGGTGTTGGTTGTGACATTAATCATGTCTGAACACAGGGCTATAAATAGATTTTTGGACTACAATGTTTAGATATGTTAAGTTTGACAAACACACCCATATCCCCTACCCATTGATGTATGTTCATTACCCTTCTTTCATCTCATATAAAAATGTATTGAAGCATGATATAATCTATACATAACATGAATTCAGTTAACCCAAATTCAAGGAAGTTTTTTTTTTATGTCAAAGCAGTTATGGCCATTCATCTCTGATATTATATCTTCAAATAACTACTGTAAGCATTCACCAGTACAGAAAATATTTATATCATCTGCAAATAAAACAGTAATTAACTAGCATGAAAAACCATTGACTCCTATTCATTTCCCACTCATTTCTATTGTCTAACTTTAATCATTATCAACAAACGTCTAACTCTAAACCTCACCTACAGTAACCTCAATTCATTCCTTAGTCCTGAACCTCATCCACTGCCCAAGTATCAGTAAGACCACAAAATGTATCATATTTATATTCCACACACAAAGTTGTCTTCCACTTCTTTGCAGGGCCTTTCCATTGAGTTCCATTAAATTCTAACCCATTTCTAGAGCCAAACCATTACCCTTACCCTAGACCCTTACAGGTTCATATCTAACCCTAACCACAACCTAACTTTAGTCACAAACGTGACCCCTGAGCCTGAAACAGCAATTCCCTTCATGGTGTCCGGGCATTGGGCCCAACAAAGAGTAATCGGTCCCCACAATGCGCTGATTTTCCAGAAAATGGGCCACACAATTGTCAAATACAAGAAGAAGAAACAAATGTTTTTTTTTTTTTTTTAGATCTACAAACTAATTAACTGCAAACGTTCCATTTGATTCCATTATTTCCAAAGCTGTACATCTCTGTGATCTAGATTCATACTGACTTTCAGAAAACAGTTAAATGTGTTTTCAAAGAAATCTTCCAATCTGTAATTGAAGAGTTTTTTTTTTAAATCTTGAAAAACAGTGAAAGTAAAGAAAGAGGCATGTTGTTTGGAAATTGGTTTTTATCTCCAGTTTTGTGTATATTTTACAGTTTTCCTTTTATTAAAAATGACCTATTTGAAAAGAAAGAAAACTTAAATAAAAATAAATGTCTATTCAGACTAGGGTTGTCAAAAGTATCAATACTCAAAAAAGTATCGATACTGAAACGTTGTATCCGGATACAATACTTGTTTTTCAAAGTATCGATACAGTGCCGCCACCAGTGGCACCTAAACAGTCATTCATCTAAAGTTCAGAATAGAGGACAATGCACTTTCAGAACACTGTGTGATTGAATAATTCTGTTTACTTTTCAGTGTCAGACTTTTTTTTGTAAGAGGTGCAGCTGCTGAGAATTATTTTTTGTTTCTTAACTGGTTTGGCTAGTGTCATTGTTATGTGTGCAAAGCATAGCCAAGGAAGGAACACTTAATTTTAGTTTTGTAAGTTTTTATCAAGCTTGCTTAATATTGTGCACAGCATACAACCTCAAAATATTGCTCTTATTGTTTATTGTATTTATTGTATTTAAATTATTAATCAAAATATTTCTGTTGAATTTTGGAGTCTTTGGTTTTATCCTTGTGGTATCGAAAATGGTATCAAGCATCGAATATTTTCCTTAGTATCGGTATCGAGTTGAAAAGTTTAGTATCGTGACAACCTTAATTCAGACAGACAGATCGGGAAGTTTGTAACAAACTTTATTTACATGAACGTGGCAAGTGGCTGGTTTTGTAACTTTTTTTGGAATGACTATGACCTGGATGACTGGGAATATTCACCAGCATACATGTCTCACTTTTTTTACTTACATTAAAAAGTGAAGCTACTTCTTTTTTGTAACTATTTTAGCTCACATGATAATTCAAGTTCTGCTATAATGCTATATTTTCATATATATATATATATACATATATATATATTGTTTTTGTTAAATATCATGCAATAAGGAAACTGGGTATTTTTACTCAGTTATACTATGAGCCCTATTCAGACTTTGTTAAGATTTTTTGGTTTCCCAATCCAATGTTCCTTGGTTTGTTTAGCCCACCCCTCTCTATTAATATAGAGTTGAGCTTATGGTAACAAAGACATGATGAATAAAATAAAGAAGGACTACGAGGATAGTTGCAGCAGACATATATGGATGACATGTCAGTAAAAGCCTTTCCCCTCGAGGTCGGACACAGTGACTGAAAGCGATTACCATGTCCTCCTCGTGTGCCGCCCGTAACCTCATCACGGACTAATGAAATCTGCTCTGCCCTCGTTTCCAGTTTGACAAACATCTCTGTAGAGCTGCGCTGCCATGTTTCTCTGCTGGCCGTGCCCTGAAGAACAAGCTTTTGACATTAACATTGTCAGGACACTCCAGGGGAGGAGGAAGCTGTAATCTAGTGCTAAAGCCTTAAACAACTCCTCTTGACATGGCTGTGGCTCTGCTTGAGGAAAAAAAAAAAATGATGTTGCACTAATCTTAATTTGTTCCATGAAAGAGTTTTTACAAGCTGAAGAAAAGCTGTATCTCTGATAGCTGGAAGTTGCTCTACAATGTTTTGATTATGTAATTGAATTAATCCTCTGAATGGCCAGGTGTGTTTAGGCAATAATTATAAAAATGTTAAAGCAGGTTAGCCGTATCCAGATATATCAAGGTAAAAAAAAAACAAAAGTTAATCATGTCGTATTTTTCCTACAGTCTAAATAAAATACCACGGAAAATATCTACCTGTTCTCTGAACTGCTGATCAGATCGCTGAAAGAAGACTACACCCCATGTCCTTGACTTATAAAAAAAATAAAATTTTTGCTATTCTAAGTTTAGGGAAAACACAGATGGTCAATTTGAAACCTTAAGTTCTTCCCATCACTCATAATAATGTAATGCAGCTTAATACTACAGCTACAGTAACAAGCATTTATCCAGAATGATTAATGAGCTAATATCAGCTTGTTATTACATTAGGGTTGTAAAATGAGATCCTGTGGCATCTTCCTATAATGGAACACATGATGTATAGTATTAGAATTATATCTGTTACATGAAACTCTGTTGTTTCATTTTAGCTTTTTTCATGAGATCTGGATACGATTACTGGATTTTAAGCTTTTCCAGTAAAGCATAGAGGTATGGCTTTGTATAACATCTCCCAAAGATGAAAATACTGAAAAAGTCATATATATATATATATATATATATATATATATATATATATATATATATATATATATATATATTAGAGGTGAGTATTGGCATGAGTGTTGCGATTCGATACATGTCGCGATACTTGGGTCACGATACGATATTATCACAATATTGCAGTATCACTACAGTATATATTGCCATAATTATGAGATAAAACAGCAAGTGCTGTATATTTTCATCATAAAATATTGATTAGGTATTATTATCCATGTTGTTTGGGGTTTTCTTCCACTGTGACTGCCTCAAATACAGATTTGGTGCTGCACGCACAGTTAAAGGGCTCCACAGCGCTTTCTGCCTGAGTGGTGGTGCAGAGGTAGCCCATTTTTCCATCAATGTTTTATGTAACCATTTTTTTTTTAAATCGATACTAAGAAGTGAAAGATCGATATTATATTGGGCAGCCGAATATCACGATTTATATCGCCAAAACGATTTTTCCCACACCCCTAATATCTATATAT